TGACCAGAATGCCACTGCCTGTGAACGGAGTCACCCAAGGGCCGTTCAGCCTGGTTAGTCGAGAACTACGAGCACGCCCATAACCCCAGCACTTGGGAGGCTGAAGCGGGAGGATTGCTGTGAGTCTGAGGTCATCCTGAACTGCATAGCGAGGCCTTGTCTCAAAAAGACACACACACACACTCACACACACACACACTCACACACACACACACACACACACACACACACATACACACAAAGGAGGGCCTTAAAACCTGGGGATTTGGTGAGGGGAGTGAGGGAAGGATGAGCCACTTCGTGATTTTCCCCTCTGTCCACGTTTGCTGCACTGAGTGTTAGTAATTTCATTGTTTTTAGTATAATTCACTTTTTCCACTTACCTGAGTCACACCTGCGTCTATCATTTCATTTTGTTAAACCCACAGGTCTCTTTATTCCCCCAGAGCTGGTCTTGCTGTGTGGCATGGGGCAGGGCAGCCTTGCCTCTCTCCTGAAGTTAGGGTCGCCTACCTGGCTGAGGTCCTTGGTGCGAGGTCGGGGCTCCTGTTGGGGCTCCTCTCGGGGCTTGCAGGGCCCGGCTGGCTCCTGGTAAGGCAGGCTACTGCTCAGGCCCTGGAGGAAGGAGAAGGGACAGAACACTGTCACCGCACACCTCCTGGGCCTGGGACTCCGGACCCAGCTGGGAGGGAAGACCTGGCTGACCTCAGTAGAGGACCTCGGTGTCAGCGCTTGCTGGCTGTGGGCCACGCGCCGATAGGCCTCAGTGGGACGCTGTGGATGGCCAAGGCCCATGGCCTATGGGTGGGTTGGGTTTGCTGCCTTTCCACCCACGGGGTGCTGGCAGCCCGTGCTGGTCCATCCTCACTGGCCCCATCGGCGGCTGGCCCACCCCTACCTTCCCGTCCGGCCAAACCCTCTTCCAACCCTGCTGCTTCTACCTGTCTCCCAAGCCTGTGTCTCATATCTTCCTTTCTTTGTCCTTCATTTCTCTTCTTTATCTTAATTATTTTTTCTTCTTACGTTTTGCTTATTCAGTATTTTTTATGCTCATTTTTTTTCTTTTTTCTTGAAATTCCTCAGATAGTAAGAATTTTCTTCCCAGGTCCAATCATCGCTACGTATTACTTTAAAATTATCATGTATCTTTAACATGTAATAGTTTAGCCGTATGAAAGAACACTGAATGAAGCCATCACTTTGAATCTGACACTGCAAAGGATTCAAACCTCCTCCCTTTGTTATGGTTTCTATGGCAATGTCTCCCTGCAAGGCGGAGCTTTGGGAAACTGGTTGGATGACGGGGCTTTTATAGCTGGCCGCCCCTGGGAGGTGGGGGCTGGTGGGAAGGCAGGCCCTGCGGTGTGGCCTGGAGAGTTTCTCTCCACCCTGAGCCCCTCCCTTCACGCTCTGCTTCCTGGAGCAAGTCATGAGATGCTCTCCCCAGCCAGGCTCCTCTGCCATGTGCCACTCTACATGGATCCAGCTGCCTTGGGCTGAAACTTCTACAAACATGAGCCAAAAGTCAACCTCTTCCCTTAAGTTGTGGGTATCAGGTATTTTCTCCCAGCAACGAAGAAAATAACTATTATACCATCTTCCTACCTCCTACCCAGATTACCACTACTTTGAATTTTTTTATTTTAAAGAGAATAAAACCTACCAAAATAAAACAGAATAAAACCAATCAAAACAAAACAGTGAAAGTGATACAGGACTTCAAAACATGGTAACAGGAATCAATAATGGCTACCATAATGCCTCTTCAAAAGTGTTGCCTGAACCATCAGAAAAACAGAGCTTAGTGAAATCAATCAATGCAGAACACTGAATAAAAAACAGTAAGACAGAACAAAACAAAACAGTGAGAACAATATTGGATTTTGAAAACAAGACAGAAGGAAATCCCCACATTGCTACATTGCATACTGTTATCCTCTTAATAAGATGCTCAGACTACTGACCCTAGGCCTGCAAAGTCAATCAAACAATGCAGGCATTGTTTGTGTTCCTCAACTGCTGTCACCTCAGCCTGTCCTCAGAATGAGTTGGTTGCTTACAGGGGTTGGGGGAGAGGCTCGGGGTATTGGTTGGCTCACGGAAGGGCGATTTGGCTTCTTGTTATGCTCTTCCCGACACAGCATGGCTTACTTTGAATTCTTTACATATTAATTTTTGTAGGAGGTAGTAGCCTGAGGAATACTTTGGAGGTCTACAGTAGAAGGATGGTTGGTACAGGGAGCTGGGGGTGCCCTGCCCAGTCACTGGGATTCCTACCATGTGATTACATTGTGACAATGCCCTTTCAGAAGGCTACTTATAACTGGTGAGGCTGACACACCAACATCCTTTACAACTGCAGGAAGGATTTGTATCTTAGCTACTCATAAAGATGAGGATTGGATGGAAGATCCATGATTTATGTGAACACGCCATGTGAAAAATAGCTGGAGGCTTTCATTAACTGCAAGATTTATAAGCAAGAAATGTTAAGTGGCTTTGAAAAAGACAAGTTACAACCACAGAATAGATTACTGAAAGTGTAAAGTCCTAAACATGGGTGATAGCAGCAAACCAGATGGCGTGCCCAGTGCTGGGCACCATGATGAGAAGACCACGGCCATCCTCTCCCCAGACCCACACACTGGAGACGACTCTGGTCCCAGCACACTTCATAGCCACACTGAGCGTTTTTGGAGTGGGGGAGATAACCTGGCATGTTTTCCAGATAGGAGTAAAGCACTGAGGAACCACGAAGCAGTGGCCACAGAGGAGGACAGTGGAGTGGGTGGAGAGTGACACATTCCACGTGCTGTGGTCCTGCTGTCAGACTTCCTGTCCAGCGCCATCTCTGCTGACTGCCCTGGTGACGCCCTGTGCACTCTGGACCTATCCACGGGGCTGTGCCCGCTCTTCCCGCCCTCTGTGTGGTGCGCCCTCTGCAGCTCTTTGCTGACAAGGTGTCCTGTGCCCACACTAGCTGTCCTTGCAGTCTTTCTCTATTCATCTTGCTAAAAGCATCCCTTACACCAAATTCCAATGTCACTGCCTGTAGCTGGTCATGGTGGTGCATACCTGTCAGCCCAGGGATCTGGGAGGCTGAGGTGGAGGATTCCAGGTCCAAGCCCAGTCTGGGCACCTTAGAGACTTTGCAGGACCATGTCTCAAAATTAACAGCAAAAGCAGAAGGGCTGGTGATGTAGCTCAGTGCAGAGGCCCTGGGTTCAATCCCCAGTACCACAAAAGAGAAAAAGAGAAGACTGGTCCTTCCCAGAGTCCTCCCCGTGAGAAGTGCTCTAACATGGACTTGCTGAGTGTCAGATATTCCTTCCCTCACTTGGGGCCAGGTCAATGAAATTACCTACCTACAGAATCTTCAAAAAATGCTGAATGAATTCACTATGATCCACTGTCTTGTTGACCTGCAAAGCTGCTCAGCATCTCAGGCCCCTTTGCTTTGTCATGTCACAGACAACCACGGGCTGCAGACACACGTTCTCATAATCGCTCAATCAGGGATCATCAGAAAAATGGTATTTACTAAGAGAAAATCACAGGCTGCTTTGGGAATAGAAAGGCTTTGGAAGGTTTTGAATGTGTCAGGTTACCTGTGTCACCGTCCCTGCTCTTTAATCCTAACCAACTGTGATTATGTCACTTAAAAAATTGTTTTTAGATGATCTATTTCTAATTACTTGAGGAATCTGGCACATGGATTTGTTGAGTTGTGATAAATATTTTCTCCTCTGTAGCAGTCAGTAATGTGGCAAGAACCTCAGCCTGTCTGGGCTTTAGATAGCTCAGGGCTTTGAGCAGGTAAAGGACCTAGAAATGTGGATGTGGATTTTGTGCCTCCGGTGGGACATGCTGATTCTGGTGTGTGTGTGTGTGTGTGTGTGTGTGTGTGTGTGCAAACCTTGGAGCCAGGCTGAGCAGAAGCAGGCAACAGAGCTCTTTAGGACTTTCAATCCAGGTGTGAGCAGCATCAGGTCATCTGCTACAGAGGTGCAGTTTGGCAGGGAGGATTTTAGTCCATTTGTATGCCCAACTAGCACACAGGACTGTGTGGGCACTCAGGAGACATCCAAAAGCTTCATTCCAATAGGCTGAGTCCTGGGGGGCTGAGATGTGGGAGTAAGTGCAGGACGTCATGCTCTGGGCCTGGGCTTAGGGAGCAGACCTGAGGTCCAGTTGAAGGCTGTGTGTGGGTGTGGGTTGACAGCATGGCGAAACATGAAGTGTGCGATATTTAAATTGCCTAGAGATTGCACCCCAAGCTTGGCATTACGGAAACTCACGTTTCTATTTCCTGTGGCTGTCTGCCCTGGAGTCCTGGAGCGGACAAGGTGTAGAGAAGTGACCCCACATCCACGGCGTCTCTCTCAAGGAAGAAGTGCTTCACGAGAAATGAGCTCAGGAGTCTCCACGGGCGCAAGTGGAAGGCCACCCCACAGCCAAAGCCTTCTGCCAGTGATCTTTGTGGGATTCCTGTGTCAGCTTTTGGTGAAATTGACTTTCTTTCTTTTGATAAGTAGGAGTCCAAGATTCCCCAACAGGAGTGGAGGGGACCCTGTCCTTCTTGGTGGCTTTGAGCAATTTAAGTCAAGGGTTTCTCAGTGCCCAGCTCTATCTTGTCTATATTTTAGTTCATCCAACAGTCTGAATGAAGAGGCTTGAGGAAGAAATGATCAAGAATGTTCCAGAACTAAGAGGGATGCAGAGAAAGGTGATGCATGGAAAAGGAAGTGAAGATCTAGAAGCCCAGGATAAGGAGACAAGCACCTGAGAGCCAGGCCAGGAAAGGGGTACAAGGTGACAAAGTAGTGGCCCCAGAAGCGGAGGCAGAATCCAACTGCCCTCCAAAGCCAGCCCACTATGTTTGGCTCAGATGTCTGTGCCTAATCAAAGGCAAACAAGCCTAATTTTCACTGGGTGTTAACTGAGATAAAAGAAGTAACAGTTCAGTCATTCCTTGTGCATAGAATGATAACACCGAGAGAAAAGAAAAACTGTTTAGTTAGTGGGGAAAAAAGAGTTCCATAAATAAACATAGGCATCAGTTTGGAAGCATGGATGCCCTGTAAAATCGGTCTTCTCCAGCAGTTTCAGGTGTGACCCGCTGAACCAACGCGTGGCTTCTGTCAGTGGCACGCAGCTTTCTGCCAGAAGCCTGGGGCTCGGGGGCAGCAGCCTCGGGCCCTAAGTGTGGAAAAGGTTGGTGACTCGGAAGGGGCAGCGGGGCTGAGACCAACCGTTCCTGAAACCACAGACCCAGGGAAAAGTCAGCATCCCGTTTGTCACCGTTTCAGCACTAGCTTTGCTAAACATCATTCAGTGCAGCCACCGGGCCCCTGGGTGGCAGCTGGAATCCTCAGCAAACATTGTATTTTGTTGTGGGGTGTCCCAGTCTGGGGGTGGGGGCCACTGGAAGCAGTTTGTCAGTGAAAGTTGAAGAAAACATCCATGTCTGCTGGCAGATGTTAATTGCAGTATCCAAGGCAGGTAACTCAAAAATTTTAATGTCTTTTGGTGGAGGAAAGGGAGTTCAAAATGGAATGGAAAAGAGGAGACCTCTCGGCTTTGAAACAAGGCGGGTAATACTGGGTTAGAACCGTGCGCGGAGGGAAGGTTGGGAGTTCCCCTCACTGTTGGTACTACTCCATTCTTCAGACAACAGGGCAGCCCAGGACTGTACCGCTGTCCACGCCAGTGGACCTGTAGAAGAGCCTTAAGCTTCCTCTCCAGAAGTATGCAAGGTCCCTACCTGCCTCCCACACCTGAATGTGCGTTGCCGGGTAAGCTGGATTGTACGCTGCAGAGGCTGAAAGGGAGGAAATTCAAGCTTCTCTGGACATCTTTGCTCTGTGAACTCTGTTATTCATGTCACTCCCTTTGACGTATTTATCAATGGCTGCTTTGCATCAAGGAGGTGGAGATGAGTCTAAGACATTTTACGGAAGATGCATTTCTCAAGTTACCAAAGTGTGAAAGATACTAAACAAAAATTTTCTGAAACAATGTTTACATGCTAGGTTAAATAGGTGCACGATGATAGGAGATGCGACTTCAGGGCCCGTTGAGTGTCAAGTATTTTTTGGAAATTATGTGAATCCTTAGAACAGTCAATGAGTCATTTCACAAAGGGGGGGAATCTCAGAGCCAGCCACTCACTCAGAATCTTCCTGAAGACAGTAAGCATCCTTCCCATGGCAATGTGGTCTTTTCAGGAGCTTTTATCAGCTGTGGCTCAATGCTATCAGAATGAAATCTGATTTTAGGAGACATTTATTAGAATTTTAGCCTCTAAACATTGGAATCACAGTGGTGGAAGGGATAATATTAGGGGACCTTGGTTGAGCGTCCCAAGATTGATGACTTTCTGTCATGTTTCTTTTGTATACTTGCTAGTTAGTGAGTTAAAAGTTACAGACAAGGTGTAAATATGGTAAAATCCTGTTTGGTAATTCGCTCATTAGTTTATGGCTTTGACAAGAACAGACATATTTTAGAAAAATATGGAAATACTCATCTTCAATATGAGCAGTGGCTTCAGAGTAGAAACGCTGGGCAGAGTCCCCCAGATAAATCCAACAGTGTCAGCAACTCAGCGCTGTGGGTTGTATCAAAATTATGAGGCAGAGAGAGTGAACATAGGACTCAAAGGAAGGCGCAATTGTTAAACTAATGCAGGCAACTGGGATGGCTGAAAATAATTTCATAATCATGCAGTGCTGTGGCTGGAATATGGTCTGTCCTCTCAGAATCACCTATTGACATATATTCTCTATTATGAGATAAGAGGTGGGACCAGGTAAGACTTTAAGAGATGATTAGGACTTGCCTTGTATTAGTCACCTTCCCATTGCTGTAACAAATTTCCTGAAATGATCAATTTAAGAGGAGAAAAGGTTGATTTAGTTTCATAGCTCTAGAGGTTTCTGTCCATGATGGGGAGGCCCTGTTGCTTTTAGGCCTGTAACACATCATGGTGTGTTGAGCATGGCTGGGATATAGAAAGAGGACCAGGAGAAGCTGGGATCCCCCAGGTCCCTCTGAGAACACTCACACGATATGCGTACAATAACCTAAAACCCAAGTTGGGCCCACTTGTACTCTTTCTGTTTTGGGGTGATGTAGGGGGTTGAGCCCTGGACCTGAGTATGCCAGGAAGGTGCTCTACCACTGAGCTGCATCTCCAGTCCTCCCATCTCTTCAGATTCCCACCACTGACCCAATGGCACCAAGGCGAGGGACCACTGCAGATCTAACCCTCAGCAGGACTCCTGAATGGGTTAATACATACTCGTGATCAAGAGATTAAGGGATTAGCAGTTTATTGGTTGTCCTGAGAGTGGTCTACTATAAAAGCTGGCTCAGATGAGTCCTGCCTGCTTCCTGTGTCTCACCACATGATGTCCTGCACCCCTGAGGACTCTGCCAGCAAGAAGGCTGCTAGCCGATGAGACCAAACCTTCAACCTTGGGCCAAACCATGAACCAAAATAAGTCTTTTTCTTTGTCACTTACGTAGCCTGTGGCACTTGCGATTAACACCAGAAAATAGACTAACACACAAGTATCTCCTTTCAACCCTAAGGATTGGTTGATTCAAACTTAGCTAACAGCAGACAAGGCCAGGAAGCACAAAGTAGTAAAAGTTGATTTCTGTTTAACTCTTGCAAGGACTATTTAGACCCACTCAGGTTTTGCTCCCAGGGAACTGTGTCAATGTGTGTCTTAAATAATACTTTCAACTTTCCCTTGGATTTTAAATCGCTGAGCACCGGCCAGGCTTTAGTTAACTACAAGATTTATCTGAGCTAAAAAAGATGGACACAAATGCCAACAGCGTTATGAGAAATTTCCAAACCTGGGCAACAGCAGAGCGGGTACTCAGTGCTGAGCACCACGATGAAATGACCAGAGTCCCCGCTTTGTCCCACACCTGCACATTGAAAACACTTGGAGAAGAGGAAAGCACCAATGATACCCACAATCTCATCACACCAAGACTCAGTTTTACCATTTCTTTTGAAATGCTCCCCTCTCGGTTGTGGGTCTGCTTTGGGCACCCTTAGGCCACTCCCCACCTGTGCTCTGGCTCTGGAAGCTGACAGCTCCGTGGCTGCACCCCACTCCTGGTTGGATTTGGCTGAGACCTGGGGCATGGGGTGGGCACAGGCGCACATCTCAGGAGTAGAGTCTGCCCTGCTCCCTGTTGTTGTGGGATGAATCCAGGTTGGCAGCCAGAGTCCCCCTTCAGGAGCACCTGATTCCCCAGGATGGTCCCCCGCATCTTCTAGGCTTCCTGAACTCTGCCCTTGCCTCTGTGAAGAGCCTGTTTATGAAACCCTCCTTGTATTGCCCAGTTTGCTCTTTGCCATTTGTCTCCTGCCTGGACCCTGACTGATTCCTATTCCACATGGTACATTATACACACAGCTCCTCATTCAGCCAAGGCTTGCTGGACTCAATTCAGGAGAGGTCTCTCACTGCTCTGATGCTAAGGTGACCCTCTGTCTCACTTTGAGTCTGTGTGGCAGGGGTCCTAGGACTCAGGGAGATTTGTCATTGCATTTATTTATTTAGTGGGAAAAAATAAAACAAAATTTCAAAACAGTGTAGCAGAGGAATAACAGTAGTTATTGCTATCTTCAAAATACTTACTTAAAATGCAAGATATGAGCATTAAAATTTCTCCAAATGATTTTAGCGCAAACCTTTCTCTTCAGTGATCCGAGAGGAGCAAGTAGTATAACTGTCTTGATTATTCTTTCATTTTTCCTTCCTTCCTTTCTCCTTCCCCCATCCTAGTTCCTCTTTCCTTTTGAACAATTTCTTCCCATTTCACAATATCCATCGTACATTTTGGTCCTTATTTACTGTTTCAGCTTCTCACACCAGAGAGAGAATACGATGCAAATGTGCACTTGGATGAGGAAATACAAACAGCAAATGAATATATGGAAAAATGTTCAGCGTCATTGGCCATCGGAGAGCTGCAAATTAAAGCAACACCAGACTTATCACTTTACAACAGAGACAATGCTCGATAAGTCAGGATGGCCTGCAGGGCCCTGCAGCAGGCACTCCTTTTTCAAAAATTTTAATTGGTTTTTAAGAAACATTATCTTCAAAATATTCCTATGATCATGTTTAAGCCAAAGCTGTTTTACTGAACAATAATACAATATTTTCCACTATGGATAACTGTGGGTTGGAGTCTTTTCCTAAAGGAAATTGCGGCGAAGGGTTTTGTTGCTTTGTGTCTAAATCTGTTTGCTCTGGGGAAGTCACCCAAGGAGGGGTAAAACAGCAGTGTGAGGAGTAAGTGCTCACTAGAAAGGTTTGAATGAAAGAGTGACGCAGTGCCTCACAGTAACAAACAAAAAGTGGGTCTGTCTGAATACAGCTCTGGATTTTAAAACACATTTTTAGAGCTTTTAATGGGTACTTTCTCATTTCTGTCTTTTCTGCATACTGTTATCTGGAGAGCAGAAGATATTTGCTTGTCATGAAGAGCATGGAATTGTGTTACTAAGCCATTAACTGGTGTATTTTAATTAATTAATTAATTGTGGTATTGGGGTTCAAACCCAGGACCTCCGCGCTGAGCCCCGAGCAACATTCCCAGCACTTTTTATTTATTTACTTATTTTTATTTTGAGATGGAGTCTTACTAAGTTGCTACGGTGTCCAGTTTGGGCTTCAATTTGTGACCCTCCTGCCCCACCCCCCAAGTGTGCTGGGATTACAGGCTTGGACCCCCATGCGTGACTTTATTAGTATATTTTAATGTCTAAGAGGCAGATCAGTTGGAAAGGAAAAGTTGAAAGCTCATGCAGAGCTAACACTTTGCGAAGAAATCTTTATTTACATTAGAGTAATAGTAGGAATATGTATTAGGTTTTATTTTTTCCGTTAGAAATGTATTTATTAAATGACAATACTAACAGCTACCATACTGCGTTAGTAAATAGACTGCCCGGGAAGAGGATGTTTAATTGGATTAAAAATCTGCCTGGATCTGAGTGCTTTTCAGTTCAAGACATCATTTTCCATTAGGAACGCTCTTGACTATTCACTCTAGGAAGCCAAAATTTCAAATATGTATTCCTTTACCTGCCACTTAATATCAATTTTCTTGCTCCCCTTCTGCTCCCCAAATCACTGCTACCTCCTAAGAGTGGGACAAATTATCAAAAACAAATTTACAGTGGTGGCTGTGGTTAGGCTGGGATTAACACTCACCTTTCCTCTTAGGACAATTCCCCTCGGTGCGATTACCTTCTCCACACACAAAGGAAGTGTGATTTGTGGAAACGCTGCTGTTAACATGCCTGGCAATAAGGTACCGTAAATATGTACTGAGACACTGACCCAAGCATGTTGAATTCAGTTCATTTTAACTGACGTTTATTGAATGCCTGCTATATGTTAGGAGAACATGTTTCCTATATGTAATGGAAAATGAAATTTCTAATAAAATGTCCAACTATTGAGAAGCAAACATCAGTATAAATTCATTTGAGTTGGATTTAAAAATAACTAGATAGATCAATATAAGTATTTAGACCAAACATAGGCCAAATTTTTGAGACTATCTTCCCATTTTGTTTTGCAACCTTAGGTAATTTGTAAGAATTTGACTCAATGTTTAGAAGTCATAAATTCATACACTGCTTTCCTTGGAGAAACGTGAGGTTGGGGAATAAAGCCCTGGGGTCCCACAGAAATGTCCTCTGGCTGCTGCAGCTAGAGGTACAGATGTGTACTCTGCAAGCTCAGCTTGTGATCAACAAAGCAGCACAGTTTAAGATGAACGGACTTAGTGTTACCGAATCATAATCCAGGTGGCAACCGCCATGGCAGTGGGGGGCGGAAAGAAACTGAGAGGCCAAGCAATTGTGCCAGGTTTTGTTGAACGCAGCAGGGAGGGTCTAGTCTGAGTCTGAGCTTTCTTAGCGACACCACTTGCTCTGGAATGACAACAGAAGGTCCCTCGGGGAAAGTGTTAGGAGATCCTGGAAATGAAACTCTGGTGGCTGTTTACATGCGAAGAGCGTGCTCATGAGCGGCCCGGGAGCTCTCCCAGAGCGGGTGGACAGGCTGTCTGCTCCTAGCTCACAAAGCCTCCTCTTGGCGCTAACTGGAGCTCCCCAGGCGATGGCCATCCCAGAACAGCATGCCTGCTTCTCTTCCTCACAGCTTCATTCTTCTGGCTCTTCAAGTTATTTTCCCCTTCATAAAAATGAGCTTTATTTATTTATTTATTGGTACCATGGATCAAACTCATGACCTCATGCTTGCCAGGGAAGCACTTATGCCACTGAACTAAATCCCCAGCCCTCCGAACCATAACTTTATCATTATTATTCTTGTCTTTTTGAGACGGGTCTCTCTATGCAGTTCAGGCTGGACTTGGTCCCACTTTGTAGCCCAGACTGGTTTCAAACTTGCAGCAATCCTCCTGCCTCAGCCTCCCGAGTGCTAGGATGACAGGTGTGCGCCACCACACCCAGCTCCTAGTCATAATTTCAAAAGCCATAAAAATGGGTATCCTCGAGATTAAGGTGACCGATGACAGCTCAGGCCCTGTATGCCACGAGCTTGGACCAAGGAAGGGGCACGGATTGGAAGAGGGAGTCCGTCCTAGGAAAGAAGGGCAGCAGGCTAAAGTTTAAGGCACCAGAAGGACCAGATGTATGAATGGAGTTAAACATGTTAGACTCTGTAACCCTATTTCTAGACATCTGTGTTAGGGGAACGCTCTGGATTACAGGCACAAGGGTACACATACGAGGACCATTATCATAGAAAAGTCTAGAAGTAGTGTAAGAATGGAGGTAACCGGAGTATCAATCAGGGCTGGAATCACATGCAGGAATCCAAAGTGATGACACAGAGGTGGATGCCAAAGACCCCCATCTATCATGATACAAAGAAAATAATACCCAAAGTTCTCTACGACATTAGCTAATTTTGATTTTTTTAAAAAAATGCAAGTAGAAAACAGGATCGATATGTGAATATTAGTTTGTACTAATTATACAGAAAAGTTTGGGGGATAAACTCAGCAACCTCGGGGTAGTAGAACACATATTTTTTAAAAACCTTTATTCTAAGACTAAAAAACAAGCCTCTCCAGGCCAGTTAGCTTAAAAATGAGAGAAACAATGACAATATAAAAACCCCATTCCTTGTAAAGACTGGCGTGCAGCTTGGTCTAAGCAGAACCCCCAACTGTGGACCCCAAGTCCCATGCAGCAGGAAATCTCTTTGCTTTGAAGTTAGAAGCCCCAGCTGCTCCGGGCCGGGGAGCCACCCAGCAAAAGCATTCCGGCACGGAAGCAGGAGTCAGAGACCCGAGGACAGCCCCTCTCAGACGGCACTTCGGGCCCTGTGCCCCTCTCCTCTTCCTGATTGCTCTTCCAGGCCCCCTGAAGGCTGCTCGACTCGCACTTGAGCCCCCACTAACTTCAAAGCAGCCTTCCCAGACGGGACCTGCACCTGCCCCAGGCCTCCTCTGATGTGATGTAACTGTTCCTCACTAGACCTCTGCAGCTCTTTGTCCTATTGGGGCAGCTGTGTCACGTTGTAGCAATTGATGCACCTGTTTCAGCTTGCAGAATGCAAGCTTCTGGTGACAACGTCTGTGCTTTTTTTTGCTGCCCATCCTGGAGCACCTGCTGTGTGGCCGTCCGATGGGTGGTACCCAGCAGCATTGCACAGGAAACTCAGGAAAGAATGAGTGGATGGCTTCAGCCTGGTAGCTCCCCAAACGTCCTGATCAAACGTTGCTTGATATTTGTTAGCAATGCGGAAAATCAGTCCCACATCTCATCCAGCCCTGTCAGGAATCCAAGCATCCCTTTGGGAAGATAAGGCAGAAACCTGGCTGCTGCCTCCTCTGGGGCTTGTAAACACCAGGTGGGACGTGCTGTCACTCGACTTGGAGGAAGTGGAGAGTGGAATCCAGCCAGCTATTTCTTAGGTCATGAGATGTTATTAAAGGAAGCAACCAGAGGGTGCAAGTAACCGTGTACCAACATGGAGGCTCTGGCGATAGGAAATAATTTAGAGAAGCTGGTAGGAGGAGACGGGAAGCGAATGGAAGGAGAGGAGAGGCTTCGAGGGAGAAGGCGTCGTCAGAATAGCCAGGGTGATGGCTGCGAAATACCAGGACGCTCCTGTCGCACGGGCTCTGGATGGAGGACGCACCCCCTAAGATGCTGCCCCACTACAGCCATCAGTGCGTGACAGGCCCCTCAGCTTACCATGGTCTCTCTTCAGGAACAGCTTTCGGGCAGGGCTCTTCCTTTTCCCCAGCGCTGGCCGCCGTCCTGCCTGACATGCCGTGACACTCTTCTGGGGTCTCTATGTCTGTGATCACCACCTGCAATTACAATCCCAGTAAGCGGAATTGACTACGGTGAAGGGGGAAACATCGTTTAACTATGTTCCTCAAGTGCATATTGAATTTGAGAGCCAGCCAGCATTTTATGCTTTGTAGAGGAAGCTATAAATATTAAACACTGTGTCCAAAGTAACACCACCTTTAAAAGGATAAAAGGATTAAAAAAACGATGTTTAAAGTTGTCAAACTTGCTTTTCTTCACTTCAGTGTATGCCAATATCTTGGTAGCTTGCAATGCATAATGTTGTATTACAATGTAGGAAGGAGGAAGGAAGCCATGTGGCCTGGTACTTGTCATGAGGGTTGGAAGACCAGGATTCAAAGCCATGAGATGTGGCCTTTGTCCATCTCAGGCCCCGCTCTACCTTCTCCAGTGGACGGGGAATACTGGGGTGACATGTCCTCCTGAGGTCTCCTGTTCAGGGAGATAATCACACACACACAGCATCTCCAGGCAAAATCTAAAGGGAACATGTGGTGTGGTGCTGTAGTAGAATCAGGAAACCGTGCATTCCTGGGGGCAGAGCCAGGGCAGAAGCCTGAAAAGTGCAAGGTCTTCAGGTCCATGAGTGGCTCGGCGTCAGAGGTAATGGAGAGTTTGCGCTGTGTGGGATTTGTTTTAGATGAATTAAAAACAGCTGAGACTATTTCCTTTGGCTTTTAAGACACAGAGGTGAAAATTTTGCTTATCTTTGATACTGTTTTAACTTGTACCTTGCTGAGCTAAGCAGAACCGCAACTTGGATGGCACCCCTGGATTACCGGTGTCCACACAGGT